AGACTAACAGCCACTTGTGTGAAATGGTATAGGGTCTCCATCTTGAGCAGGGGGCTGGACTAGAAGACCTCCAAGGTCCCTTCCAGCTCTACTCTGACTACCATGATGTTTGAGTCTTTGCCTTGGAAAAATAGAGGCGGAAGTGACATAATCAGTGTGTATAAAATCAGATACAGAAATTGGATGGGGATCCATGTCTCAAAAGTTTTAATGACGTGGACCTGAAGGAGATACATGATAAATGATAAATCCTTGCCTTCCAAAACAGTATTTCTAGGGCAATAAGTTTATTATGGTTTGATCTGACTATTTGCCATTAACCTGGGATTAATTCTTAGCTATGATTGATTGATTCAATCAATCAATCATTTTTGATAGCCAGCAATCTCAATCAAGAGATACTGGATGGCTTACAGTTCTAAATCTATAAAAACAATTAAAACAATACAAAAAGCATTTAAAACAACAAAAACAAATATATACAGATATGGATAGATCTGCTGAATGGAGTTGGTATATGACTCAGGGGAATTGGGATATCTTAATTAAAAGTATATCTATGCTGTTTTGGAATAACTACAGAGAAAAATACACACCTTCAGCTATGGTGAATTTATCCAAACCTTGGAAATTACTGAGGAAAGTATTTATATAGTAAAATTATAAATGATTTTTTTAAAAAAAATAGATGCCCAATGAGCATTTTGAAGAATATTCACTGAAGCTAGTAATAAAATAAACTCTAATGTGCTGTTAATGGTGACATTTGAAATAGCGACATCTGAAAACTGGAAGTATGATCTATTCTTTGATCAATGGGACAGTCTCATTCATATTTTTTTTTCATTTTGTCTTCAGGCAAGATTAATTTTTAAAAAAAAAAGATTAAAATTTTTCATTAACCAAATAAACAACATCATAGAATCTTGGCATAGTTTGATATGAAAAGAGCTGGGTTGCTTATAAGAAATTTATAGTTGTTGATTGGTAATAACTGTAATATATAAATAAGGTACTGATTTTGATTAAATAATGGGTATTTCTGGGCACATTCTTTACAGCATGTCTAAAGGCTGAATCATGGCAACTGGACCAAATTTTCTTCATCTGAGACGTTTCATTGCACATCCATGCAAATTCATCAGTCAGAGCGGAATTAGTTAGGCAGAGAGCCAGAGAATGGTTGGAATTTACCGATTCTTGCCACACTAACTGCACGGATTTCTCCCCACAATGGCTCGCAATGTGTCAATCAAGTTTCAATCATCCAGGTCAAAGGCGTCTAAAATTGGATCTTGACTCTCTGGACTGTCTGTCTAATTATTTTTGCTCTGATTGATGAAGCCGCGATTCAACCTTCAGATACCTTTGGCGAATCTATGTCTATGGAGATTCTTAGTCATCCAGGTCATGGTTGTCCCAAAGGTGCTTTTTCAAGAGGAAACTGGAATTTCTGGTTGAAGAAGTTTCTTGGATGAGAAGCGAAACGTCTTCAAAAGAAGAAGCAAGGAAGTCCAGTTGCCTCTTGAAAAAAGCACCTTTGGGACAACCATGACCTGGATGATTGAGAATATTTACAGATTTTTAGCTATACAATTTGGGATAAACACCCTTGGAATGGTGTGGGAGTAGGAAGGGATTTCCAGAGAAAAAAATTGCAGACTACAGGAACCAGGCGCATCACTCAGGTGACCCTGAAGACACAGACAAACCTCCATGTGGCCTCAACGATTCTCTAATAGGATGCAAATGACCAGCTGCCTGCAAGGAGTATCCATCTTTCCATTCCCCACCATCCAGTCAGAGCTGAAGAAGCTTCTTGGATGACAAGCGAAGCGTCTTCAAAGAAAAACCAGAAAGTCCAGTTGCCTCTTGAAAAAAGCACCTTTGGGACAGTTTGGCCTGGATGATTGAGTCTTCATTGACCTGTTTCTTACAGCAACAAATCACAGTGATGCCATCAGTGTCTGGCACATAGAAGTGGTGGCATTTGTGGGATGTGTGTATGGGCATCCCTTTGTTGCAGTTAGCCGGCAGCAGGTGTGGACGGCTGAGGAGAGCGAGGACTCAGATGAGGGGCCAGGGCCATTAGGGAGTGGACTGCTGCCTTCAGAGATTGTGGGGGCTGGCAGCAGCGATGAGGAGGTTCCTGAGAAGCCTGTGCCAAGTGCGCATGAGCGCAGGGTTGCTCACACGACAGAGCAGTTGCAGCAGCATGGGCGACTTAGGAGTAAGGCTGCAAGGTAATGGCCCCTCCCTCAAGAAGATAAAAGCCAGCTGTGAATAGGACGTTCTTTGCAGGAAGCAAAGAAGTTTTGAAACTCAGCCTCGTGGACATTGCAGTATCTTAGTTGGTATTTGAAGACTCTTGTGTTGTAAAATATTTCTAGGTAATCTTATCTGTTATTTTTGGCAGCCTCGCACAGTTTTGGCGAGGCTCGTGCTTATCAAAGTTAATTAGTTTGCAGCAGCCTTTTAACTGGGGATTCATTATTAAAAGGTTTCTGTTCCCTTTGGTTCGTGTTTGTTTTATTGGACAAGGGTTTGGGTCAGAACACCATTTAAGTCACTGTTGACGCCCTAAAAAAGTCCCTGCAGTTTTCTTGGCAAGGTTTTTCAGAAGCGGTTTGCCATTGCCTGCTTCCTAGGGCTGACAGGCCCATGGTTACCCAACTGGCTTTGTACCTAGGCTGGGTCACCACAATATAAAAAAGATGCAGATACTCTGGAAAGAGTGCAGAGAAGAGCAACAAGGATGATTAGAGGGCTGAGGGCTAAAACACGTGAAGAACAGTTGCAGAAATTGTGTTTGTCTGGTCTAGTGAGAAGAAGGACTAGGGGGCACATGATAGCAGTCTTCTAATATTTGAGGGGCTGCCACAGAGAAGAGGGGATCAACCTATTCTCCAAAGCATCCGAAGGCAGGAAAAGAAGCAATGGATGGAAACTAATCAAGGAGAGGAACAGCCTAAAACTAAGGAGAAATTTCCTAATAGAACAATTAATTAATGGAACCATTTGCCTTCAGTAGTTGTGGGTGCCCCATCACTGGAGGCTTTTAAGAAGAGACTGGACAGCCACCTGTCTAGAATAGTATAGGGTCTCCTGCTTGATCAGGGGGTTGGACTAGACGACCTCCAAGGTCCTTTTCAACTCTATTATTCTGTATTCTGTCTAGAACTCATAAGTCTCCCAATTTCTTTCCAATTGCCTTCATCATTACACCAAACTGGCTCTCTCCGTTTGTGAGATTGCATATCACAAACATGTCATGAGTTGTGCCCTACAACTATCCACATTAGTCCAAGGACGTATGGAATCTTCAATGGGGGCCATTCCTGATTTTTCTCACCCCTACAGTGAAGTTTGGCTTATTAGATTCTGCTGGTGATGATGCTGAAAACTTCCTGTGTGCAGCTGTAGGGTTCTTTCTTGTGGCTTGTAGCACAAATCAGACACTCTTTTATTGATAGACTCTAATAAAGCCCATTTCAGACGGTTTTTTAAAAAGATTTCGGTGAAGCAATTGGCCTCAAGGAACTCAGAGTTACTCTATTTCCTCTATTAACAACACAACTTAGAAGTGTGTTGCTTTTCAGATGTGCTTTGACTGCCATGGCTGTAGTCTGGTGAATTTAATTTATTAGCACATTCCATTTGCTCTTGAATATCTACATTCAAGAACCTTTTTATTTATGCCTGTTGCCTGTGTAGGGAGAAGCCACTTCTGCCTAACAACTCAAGCAATCTACATTCTTTAGAGCACAGAATATAGAATAATCAGATTGGAAGGAACCTTGGAGGTTTTCTACTCCAACCCCCTGATCAAGCAGGTGAGCCTATAATTTTTTTTTTGTCTTTGAATGACCTCGTATGGAGCTGGGTGTTTACTGGCCGGATGCCTTTCCTGTCATCAGTTCATAGCAGATGTATTCTCATTGTGCCCAGAGATATAAATATCTGCCTCTACTCAGGATCGAACTCATATAGTCTCCTGATTGTGAGGCGAGAGCTCCACCTCCAGATCACCGCACCACTCCAGGAGACCCTATAATATTTTGGACAAATCACTTTTTGGAAACCTCCAGTGATGGAACACCTGTTACTTCTGGAGGGAAGTTGTTCCACTGATTTATTGTTCTCACTGTCAGGAATTTCTCCTTAGTTCTAGGTTGCTTCTCTCCTGTTGCTTCTTGTCCTGTTCTCAGGTGCTTTGGAGAATGGGTTGATCTACTCTTCTCTGTGTAAAGGTAAAGGTTCCCCTCACACATACGTGCTAGTCGTTTCTGGCTGTAGGGGCAATGCTTATCTCCGTTTCTAAGCCAAAGAGCCAGCGTTGTCCAAAGACGTCTCCGTAGTCATGTGGCCGGTATGACTAAACGCCGAAGGCGCACGGAACGCTGTTCCCTTCCCACCAAAGTGGTTTCTATTTTTCTACTTGCATTTTTTACCTTCTTTTGAACTGCTAGGTTGGCTGAAGCTGGGACAAGTAACGGGAGCTCACTCCGTGACACGGCGCTCGGGATTCGAACTGCCGAACTGCGGACTTTTCTGATCGACAAGCTCAGCATCTTAGCCACTGAGCCACCGCGTCCCCTTCTTCTCTGTGTCAATCCCTCAAATATTGGAACACTGTCATCAAGTCACTCCTAGCTCTTCTCTTTGTTAGACTGGACATATCCAGTTTCTGCAACCATTCCTCATGTGTTTTATCCCCTAATCACCTTTGTTGCTCCTCTCTGCACACTTTCCAGAGTCTCAACGTCTTTTTTGCATTGTGGTGAATTACAGACTGAAAGATGACATTAAATTCTGACAAGCAAAGCCAATGAGGAAGCCAGAGCCACTTAACGACTGTGGCAAGGAAGGTTTGTAAAATGGGGCAACATTCACTTAATGAATATCTCACTTAGGAAAATAAATTTTGGCCTCTCTTGTGGGTCATAAGCCGAGGGCCACCTGAACTTATAGACGTACGGAATCAGCAAATGCCACCTTACCTTGGTTGCAGAGGGGCCCGAAAAACCCTGGGAGGCAATCACACTGGCCTGTGACATGATGGCAGGGAAGTGTGCTGTGAAGACATTCTGGACAAATCTGGTTGCACTGAAGCCCGTAGAACCCAGGGGGGCAAACTAAGAGAGAAAAAGCACAGAAAGAGGAATAAACAAAACCGTGGACGAAACTTAAAATACAAGGTATTAATCTCCATCCATTACTATGCACTTCGGAGGACTTTTTACAATTTCATAGGATAGAAGAAAGGCCTTATAGGAAGTCCTTACTTAGCGAGTGGCTCATTTAGTGACTGCTCAGTTATAACAAGTGTTGGGGTTCACCGGCAGCCTGTGCAGATGGCAGCGGAATCGGACAGTGGGGAAGAACAGGGATCAGTCCGGGAGTCTGGGGAGGACTTGGACAAGGGTCCTGCGTCCGATGCAGAGATGGGGCCAGGACCATCTGGGAGTGGGGTGCTGACTTCGGAGCCCCCAGAGTCTGGCAGCAGCGAGGCAGAGGACCCAGGGGAGCCTGTTCCCAGTGTGCATGTGTGCAGAGCTGCCAGAAGGCAAGAGCAGCTGAGACAAAAGGGGCAACTCGGGAGTAAGGCAGGGAGGTGATTGCCTCTCCCATAAGGTATACAAGACAGGCAAAGGTAGAGAAACCTTTGCAGGAAGCAAAGTCATTCGCTCTGTTCAGATTAAACCTTGAAGCTCTGTGTGGACTTTATACTTTGTTTTTCCCCCCCAGTTAATTTGGCACTTTAGTTGTTGGTAGCAACTCAAAGGAAAGAAAGGTGGGTGCTTATCTCGAGGGACTGTTTGAGACTCATTACAGGCTGGGAATGCACATAATTCTCAGCACTGAAATAAAACAAGAGTTGTTTGGACTAAGCGTGTGCTTAATTATGGTCTCAGGAAACCTTGGTCAGAATAACGGGGATGAAAAGAAACTTTATGAGCAATCCTTGCACTAACAACTTTTGCAGGTTTTGGAAGCTGAAATCACATCCGAAATACAGTCACAGTTTCATTTAAGCAACCGCTTCCCTGAACAATTAAGTTGCCTGTTCCAATTGTGGTCTCTAAATGAGGATGTATATTTAAAAAATTCAGAAATGTTTGTTCTTAGAGCTACTTTGGGAGGTTGATTAATCATAGGAACTGAAGTAAAAACCAAGAAGGGGGTCATAACTATGCCCCCGTCGCTTGCACATGTGTGTGACATTGATGGGCAAATCAGGCAGAGTTTCAATTGCATGGTGGCAATCACAATCCTGAACTCTCTTGGGGATGCTCCTGAACACAAGATAGACCAGGAAATGGAGAAGAAAAAGTGAAATAATCCTAACGCTGATAATAGGAATATCCAAAATTGTATTTAACATTGATAGAATACTGGGTTTTTTTCTTTCTTTCTCTGATTCAATACTGTATGGCACCTAAATAACAGAATATTATGAACCTTAGCAATACCTTACAAACATCATTGCACTGAAATAACGTTATATAAAAAGGATTGAGCCAGTTCTATTTTAACACCCTATATATTAATTATGGTCTCTTCAAATGTCACTTGTTTCATCACGATTCTGTATAATATTCGTGTCTGATTTATTAGCCCCGTTATATTTTTAGCGGTACTTCAGCACATACTTCTGGTTGTGATGTTTTAAGCAGCAGAGACACTCCTCAGGTTAAAATGGCAATTGCTGTCGCTAAGCAATGTGGTGCTAAAGCTCAAAGTTACATGACTGCAGCACTTATCCAAAACAATCCAGGCAGCTCTCGGTTGCCATTGTGGACTTCAGGACCACACAGGTAGTTAAATGGGGAGAGGTGCAATGGTAGGCTGCAAATTTTTTGAACAACTGGTTCTCTGGCTGGGTAGGCGTGGCTGGTTGGTCATGTGACTCGGTGGATGATGTCACTCATCACCCAGTCCCACCTCCCAGCCACTCGGCTCAAAGGCACAGGTAAAATTCAGCTGGTTGGGGCTAATCCCACCACTGGCTGTCCCCCCTACCCATTTTTCAGCCTGTTTTTGAGGCGTTTTTGGGGCGTTTTCAGGTCATTTTGGGGCCATTTTCATGCCATTTTCCAGACCATTTCCAGGCCATTTTTATCCCCAAAATGGCCCCAAAACAGCAGAAAAATGGGACCAAAACTGACCTGAAAACAGCCTGAAAAATGGCCAAAAAAAACAGGCCAAAAAAATGGGCAGGTGCCTTTGAGGCGAGTAGCTGGGAGGCAGGGCTGGGTGACGAGTGACATCACCCACCGAGTCACATGACCAACCTGCCGTTTTCAGGCCATTTTTGAAAATGGCCCCAAAATAGGCTGAAAAATGAGCGGGGGAGGGGCCAGCCAGTGGTGGGAATTGCTGGTTCACCGGACTGTGCAGAATCTTAACTACCGGTTCACCCAAACCGGTGCGAACCGGCAGCAGTCCACCTCTGAAGAGGTTGGAGATAAGGGGTGCCCAGGGTGGGGGGAGATGCTTTGGGACAGCCAGCCAATTGGAGAAGCCTAGAGGGCAATGGGACGACTCCCGTTGGCTCCACACCCAGTTGCCCGTGGCAACTGGTTCTGCATCCTCCTGGCCATGCCCCCTCTCTGCTCCCCCATCCATACCCATGTTTTGTGTCCACCTGGTCACACACCGCCCAGCCGCCCCAAGCTGACTGCACTTAATCCTCTGTGTCAACTTGGCCACACCCATCCAGCAATGCCCACCCAGTCATGCTCATCTGGCTGCAGTAAGTCATCATAGACCCAGCCTAGAGAGAGCTTGAGAGGGCCAATGCTGTCTGCATGTGAGGACAGTGTGGTGTGGAGTAAACTAGGCCTGAAAGACAGGACTACTTGACACAAAAGGAACTTACCAGCATAACTTAAGAGCTGCAATGGCACATTGGTTACAGTGCAGTACTGCAGGCTACTTCTGTCTGCTGACTGCTGACTGCCTGCAATTTGGCAGTCCAAATCTCACCAGGCTCAAGGTTGACTCAGCCTTTTGTCCTTCCCAGGTGGGTAAAATGAGGACCCAGATTGTTGGGGGATAATAGGCTGACTCTGCAAACTGCTTAGAGAGGGCTGTAAAAGCCCTGTAAAGCGGTATATAGGTCTAAGGGACTAATAAGTCTAAGTGCTATTGCTCTTCCCTTTCCCCTTCCTTCCTTCCTTCCTTCCTTCCTTCCTTCCTTCCTTCCTTCCT